AAAAAAAAACTGGGGTGGGGGGGTTTCTGAATTGTCGACATCAGAAAAACCTGGATATATTAGACCAGTATACTTATACTTAGGTTTTATACTTAGATTAAAGGTAAAGCTAAACATTCCCCTCGCACATATGTGCTAGTCGTTCCCGACTCTAGGGGGCGGTGCTCATCTCAGTTTCAAAGCCGAAGAGCCAGCACTGTCCGAAGACGTCTCCGTGGTCATATGACTCAATGCCAAAGACGCACGGAACGCTGTTCCCTTCCCACCAAAGGTGGTCCCTATTTTTCTACTTGCATTTTTTTTTACGTGCTTTCGAACTGCTAGGTTGGCAGAAGACGGGACAAATAACGGGAGCTCACCCCATTACGCGGCACTAGGGATTCGAACCGCTGAACTGCCGATCAACGTCTTAGCCACTGAGCCACCGCATCCCTGTACTTAGATTAGATCTACCTAATTTAACCTGATTGGCATTCAGAAGCTCCCCATCAGTTCCTCTGCCCCTTCGTGATATAGACTACAAATTAAGTATAATTTCTAATGCATTTTATAATGCATCGTGTTTGCAACTATCTACCCTCAGCGTAGATTAGTAATAGAGGAGGTAGGTTCAGAAAATGGAACTGAACCCCCAAAATGTCTATTTATTGCCTTTAGTAATCTTAGTGGCATCCATAGAGGCACCTGCACACATCAAATTAAACCCTATTTTATGCAGGGAACCCCCATTTTCAAGGTTGGCACAGCCTGCCAAGCCCAATTGAAAAACACGTGGTCAGTTTAAAAAAGGGGAGATTTTGTGCCTTGGGGGGAAAAAAAGGGGGGGCTACTCTTCCATAGCTACCTTTCCAAGGTAAGGAGGAGCAAAAACCTTAATAGATTTGTTATTTATTGGTGCATTTACATAGCAGGAGATTCTTCCCTTATTTTTTGTTTTTTTTCTAATTAGAGGCGCGTTAACAGATCCCGATGCATCCCATTTCCCCTCAGCGACCCCAACCCTCCTCTCCCTTCCTGCAGGTGTTGGGACTACAGTTCCCATGTGGCGGCCAATTCATGGGACAGGCAGTCCGAGGGGAGGGGAGGGAGGGAGGAAGGCAAGATGGGCAAACGCGGACGCGTGCACGCCCAGGCTCCCTTCCCACGTTCCCCCCCATCTTCCCTAAACACGGGTCTCCTCAATTTCACCCCACCCCACGCCCAGCCCGGTGGCGGCTGCGGATCGAGGCCGGGCTGGAGGCCTCGGGCCAGGCCTCACCATCCTCCTCAGGGGCGGCGGGCGGCGGCGGCGGCGGGGCTGTCTGGTGGCCGGCGGCTCTGGCTCTGCTCACGCCGGGCGGCTCCGGCTCGAGGTTCGGCTGCGGGGCCTGTCTCCATCTATGGGCGCCGAGCCCGGCAGCGGCGCGAGGCCGAAGCGGCCGGGCGAAGCGGAGGAGACGGCCGGGGAAAGCGGCGGCGACGACGGCGGCGGCGGCGTCTCCCCGCCAGAAGGCCGCCGCCGTGGCGGGAGGCTGCGGAGGGGGCGGCCGCCGAGGCAGCGGGCACGGCTCGCGGCAGGCTCCGGCTGGGGCTCCAGAGCGGCGGCAGAGGCGGCGGCGGCGGCAGCGGCGAGGGCAGGAGCGGCCTGGTGGCTCCTTCTCATAATTGTGCGACTGGGCCGGCAGCGGCGGCGGCGGCAGCAGCGCCGCGGCCTGGCGCGTCAGCTCGCGCCGCCCTTTGCCCGCCCTCCCGCCGCCGCCACCGCCGCTGCTGAGGGGAGGCCCGGCTGAGGTGTTTGTCGGGGTGGCTGTTGTGTAGCGGGGTTTGTGTGAGGGGGGGTTGCGTTGCTTTACACACGCGGGTCTGTCAGGCACACGCACACGCGTCTGTGTGTTCTCACACATACACACACACGCGCGCACACACACACACACATACCAGACACGCGCACGCAGGGCACCTGCCCTGCAAACGTGCCCACAGGACACGTGCCTTTCTTGTCACTTTTGAAATGGCTTTCTATTTCTTCTTTTCAATTTTCACATTTTGGAATTATTTTAATTTTTAAAATAATAATTTAAAATTTAATTTTTGCCTTATATGTGGTTGTTTTTCATTTGGGTTTTTGTATCTTTTGTAGAAGTGCATTTTCAAAACATGGAAGCCAGACATAAACAAGGATGAGTTACAAATTATCAAACCTTTCTCCCATTCTCAAGAACAGGGATGTGGTTGAAAAGAAGGTTTTTAGTGGAAAAGCAAGTTATTTATTTTATTTATTTATTTTATTTTATTAAATTTCTATACCGCCCTTCTCCGGAAGGACTCAGGGCGGTGAACAGCCAGAAGATAAAACACAGGAATACAAAATTTAAAATAAATTAAAACGAATTAAATAATTCAGGCTGAATTTTAAAATACCCCATAATTAAACAGATTAAAATTTATATTTAAAATTTAAATTTAAAAGAGGAGATGATTTAGGCCAGGCCAGCTTGATGAAATAAAAACATTTTAAGCGCGTGACGGAAGGTGCGAATAAATATGTTCAGATAAAAACAAATAAGGATGTAGCAATAGCTTTGTAACTTCTGTTCTATCGAGCCCACCCGATCCTTTCAAATGCTCAGCTGTCATTCACCGGTAAACAGTTCACTTTCAATCCTCATCTGTACATGTTCTTATACTAAACAGGTTACCATTTATTCAAACTAAAGTTGCTGGAGGGAATAAGATGCTATCACCTCACAAGCTCTCTTGTTGATGAATTTTTACTTGGCATTACTTAACACTTGCCTTATAATCCAAATAATGAAGACAATATACCTTGGGGTTTATTGGAACAGAGGTCTGTTTTGAGTGCTTGAAGCCTCTCTGTAGGACGTCTACTTGGCTTCTATAATAATATGTATTTATTGTGTTGTATATTCTGGAGTAGATATCTGTGAATATTGAAGTGAGACAGGTAAAACTGAAGACAAGTGTTGCCTAAAGACAGAAAGAATGAAACCACCTTACAAAGACAGTTCTTTTGTAATCTTTCTTCCTCTGCTCTTCATATAACTAGCAAGAAATGTCAGTGTGACCTCAAGATATAAGGCTAAGTCTAGCATTTTACTTATCCTCTCAGCTGTTATAATTACTATCAACTTGGCATATCACTTTTGTAAATACAATTATCATAAAATGCCACTGTCTTAACGTCACCTTTATCTGCACTCCAGTTTAACAGTTGCAATACTAAACTATACCCTCCATATTATAATCAACTTGTAGTTATAATAGTACGTGCAAGCTGTCTTTTGCACACTGTCATCTGCATATCATTTTGTTTGCTTTTCAGTTTTATTATTGATTTCTGTGCAAGTTGATCCTTAAGCTTGTAAACTAGCGATCCTATAAACATGGAAAATTGAGAGAATTTTGTTGTGGTTTTCTGTGCAAAACGCATTAGCATTTGGTTGCTGTTTTAACAATAGTACACAAAGAAAGGTTAGGCATCTGCGAAGAATCGTGTCAGCGTTTAAATATAATATATTGGTTTTAGAATTATTGCATAGCTTGGGATGGCCAACATTCTGGTAAATAAGGCCACTCCATATGGTTGAAGGCACAAATATCACAATAAATGAGAACATCAGAATTTTCAACATCAGTAAAAGAGATGCGATAGATGTTGACAGGTGGAAGTGTTATTGAACATCAGCATTCCTCTTCCAAAGTTTCAATTCACCCACCCACTTTGGACTAGGACTAGATAAACGAATTGTAGAACAAGCACTTTTATTTATATTTTTAAAAAAATAAATTGCAAAGGAATCTAGGACAAAGATGCCTTGCGGAACAGCAAGGAAGTCCCTCATAAGGAAAAGTCAGTAGAGAAAGGATTTATGAAAGGTTCATAAATATGAACCAGTTGCAGAGCGTCCAAATTTTGATCACATGACCAAGGGAATGCTGCAAGGGTCATAAGTGTGAAACATGATCATAAGTCGCCTTTTTCAGTGTCGTAACTTTGAACGGTCACTAAACAAATGGTTACAAGTCAACGACTACCTGGTTGTAGGAGCACAAAAGCTCTGGAATAGCATATATTACTATTCCTGCAAAAACAATGCTGTGTAAAGGATCATTTGGGTCTCAGCCAAGGTGCCCTAAGGCTGACTACCTCTTATCTTGTGGCTCGATAGCTCACCAAACCTGCCTGAACTTGTTCTTGTAGCCAAGAAATGTAAATATGCTACAGGTACAAGGGGCAGTTTGGCCAGAAGCAGAAGGAATGTTTCGTACAACATATGGAGCAATGAATATTGAAAATTCAAGGCAGCTTCCAATATAGAAGATAAAAAAGTACAGTGGATTAAAATTACTAATTACTAAGTGTAATTACTAATTACACTTAGTAATTACACTTAGTAATTATTAGTTACTAAGGGGCGTGGTGGCTCAGTGGGTAAGACGCTGAGCTTGTCGATCGAAAGGTCGGCAGTTCAGTGGTTCGAATCCCTAGTGCCACGTAACGGGGTGAGTTCCCGTTACTTGTCCCAGCTTCTGCCAACCTAGCAGTTCAAAAGCATATAAAAAATGCAAGTAGAAAAATAGGGACCACCTTTGGTGGGAAGGTAATAGCGTTCCGTGCGCCTTTGGCGTTGAGGCCACATGACCATGGAGATGTCTTCGGACAGCGCTGGCTCTTCGGCTTTGAAACAGAGATGAGCACCGCTCCCTAGAGTCGGGAACAACTAGCACATATGTGCGAGGGGAACCTTTATCTTTAAGTGTATAAAAATCAAATCTTGAAAGGCGAATTCAAACAGACAAAAAAAAAATATATAAGTAAAGGTTCCCCTAGCATCTTCCAAGATACATCTTTAAAATCTGAGAAGGCATAAACTATTTTTTTTTTTTTTTTTTAGTTTTTTTCCCTGGAAAGCAAATGGAGATGATTAACCGCCATATTGATGTCATACAAAGGCTATGTTTAATGTGTAAACCAGACAGGAAATAAAACAATACTTAAAATTATTGCTGAAAGTTTATTTGATATAAAATGTTTTTCCAAATTATAATAATCTTAGAAAACAAAAATATACAATGTTTCAGAAATAAAGCAGCAAAGAAAGTGATTATCAGACTGGATTATTGCTCTAGCAGGACTATGATAAATGTTATTCTTATTACTAAGGCTGTTAAAATGAAAATGGACAACTGAATTTTTAACCACTTTTTAGCAGATGTCAAACGTGGCCCCTAGCATGCTATTCAGTAGCCAATTGTTAAAAGCACCCAATTTTAAATAAATTGTTAAATAGTCCATAGACACTGTTAATTTAACATTTCAAAATGAGAAGCTTGAAACATTTGTCATAATTTGAATCATACTTATTCTACTCTCTGTCTCAAAAAAGCAAATGCATGTTCAGTGGACAACTGTATATAATTTGTCAATTCTATTCCTTACAAATGTAACTCAGTGAACTTAGACATTAAACGAGATTAAATTTGACATTTCTCTATGAATTAAATTTATTGAACGTTAAAAAGAAATCCGAAGTAGCAAACAATATAATGTAAAAAAATAGACAAAAGCAATTCAAAAAGTCTTATTCATTTCCTCGCCATCTTTTACTCTTCCCAAACCCAGCAAAATTAAAACTCAGATTAACCTTTTATCTACAATTTAAGCTTGCATCTGTCTCATCAAAAGACATTTTAAGAGCAAAGGATCTCTTTTCTATCCATCATGCAAATATAAGTTTCAGGTTCCCTTGATTTATTACAACCGGTGTTAAAACGAGAAGTCTGTTTGAATTCATGTTGACTAAAGAATATTTAAAAAGAATGAAGAAAAAAGAAAGATGGATCATGTTGGGGACAGGATAAGAAACCTTGGTATTTATCGTTTCAAGTTTCTTAAGTCTGTAAACCTGATGATCGGACACCTGCTCTGCAGCCTTGACTGTTTTAAATGTGTCCCATATGATCAGTAAGCCTTTTGACAGAAAGGGCTCGGGTAATAATTAAATAAAGCTTCATCAATTATGACTGAAAAGAAAACAGGAAATATCCCAGCTGTATGCCTCCTGTCCCTTACAAGAAGACCCCAATAGTATATCAAGAAAATGTAGGCCATTTTTTCATTTCTGTATTCTGCTCAACAGTGAATGGAAACTCTTCCATCAAATGGTCCAGGAAAGTCCCTGAACCTATTATCTGATATATGGATGAAGGAATTGTAGCTATGGTACAATCTATTCTACCCTTCATTGCCTACACCTTGGGGCATGGCAGGGAAGTTCTCATGAAGACCACCTTCTTCATGGATGTGTCACCTCAAATCAAAAGCCCACACAAAATCAATATTTTAAATTGCTATAAGACAGTGTCTACAACAGAGGTCTTCAAACTTGGCAGCTTTAAGACTTGTGGACTTCAACTCCCAGAATTCTGGGAGTTGAAGTCCACAAGTCTTAAAGCTGCCAAGTTTGAAGACCTCTGGTCTACAAATTTAGAGGAAATTCTTGCTTTATGGATCTGCCTTCTCTTGTGGAGATTGACCTTACAAGTATGCAACTAGTAAAAAGAATAGCAAGTGCTTTTAAATTGCTTTTCAGACTTGTTCTCATTAGCTTAAACGAAGTTTCATTTAAAGGAAGCCTATTTCTCCTGAGTGAAAACATCATAAAAAAACAGTTATTTCAAAAGCTTCCGGTCTCTTCAGTTGATCTACAAGATCCATGTTACCTAATTATTCCAGCTTCTCCTAACTTGATGGCTTTTAAACATGTAGAATACAATTCCCAGAATTCTTAACAATATTCTGTAGCTGCAGTCCTATGATATGTGGAAGGCACCAAATGAGGAAGTTTATGTTACACTGTTGTTCTTATATTACATCTGAACTAAAGCATTGCCAAGTCTTTTTTCCCATTTTTTTTCTTTTACACATTCCTCCAAGTATCTTTGGTTTAAAACTATGTTGGTGCTCAAAGTTACCAAACTTCTGGTTCATCAGCACTTCCAAGAGATGTTAAAAGTGGGAAATCTCTTTCAAATCAAAATGCTAGAGCTGAATTTATTCTATTAACATTATGACGACTGTTGTAAAAGCTTTGTACTAGGGCATAGGTTGAAATAAAAATTCAAATGATGGATGTGTTACAGTGATGACAATAAAAGATCAGTTAGGGAGAACTAAAAATGAGCCTCTGATTTTGAAACTTAAGACTTTTATTAATTGTGCTTACGTTTAAAGAGGAAAACTAAGTTTCTGGTTTTTGTATATTCCTTCCAATTTTTCTCTTTAAGTATTTTAAAAAATAATATTCATTAGCTCACAATGGATTAAGTATAGGAACTCCTAATTATAACAATAATGAGTGAATGGGCTCTTCTCAGCTGATTTTTTGTCCATCTTACTCATTTTATAATTTCACACCCCTCTACATTATACATTATAACTTGTATTATTATACGGGCGAGAACCCGTTTTGAGGCCACAGGTTGTATATCTTTTTTCTTTCAACCACTGAAGGTCAAAAGATTTGTGACAGTGACATTGCTACAAAATGGAAAGGACCGGGCCGAACATTTCAGTTTTTTTAGGGTTTGATAAGGTTAAAAAAAAACAGGAATGTTGAGGCCTTAATGCCTCTGTTTTTCTCTTTTGGGGGACAATCATTGGATGCAATCAAATATACATTTTGCTGCAGAATATTGGCATCAACCTGGACTTCTGGGAACTGTACTCATAGGATTACATGGTTGCATGTAACTCTAAGTTGCCCATTGTTACTTTCTCATATTTGCATAGTAACCCATGGCATTTCCTGCTAGCTGGACCTCTGATAAGACACTTCTGGTCTGCATTATTCTGCTCCTAAATGCTTCAAACAAAGATTTAGGTGGAAAGCCTGAGATCCAGGAGCAAATTGGACGATCAATTAGAAATACTATCTATCTCATAGGCCACAAACTTGAATTGAAGCAAGGCACAGGTTTATTGAATATGGTTTGGTACCTCGAGAGATAACATGTTCTAACAATTCTGAGAATATCAATAGTAAACTTTTCACAAAAATATATGTGCAAGTGTAAAAAAAAAGGCGATTCTTTTCATAATAAAGTGTATGAAATATTCCAGTTTAAAAATTAAACCAGTCTCTATTATTTGAGTAGAAAAACCATAGTACATTATTTTTGGTGATGCGTTATTGTCCCTCATGGTGCTGGGTGGCTTGTGTGACATTTTCTTCATTAGAAGCAGAAGTCATCACCTGGGCATAAAAGAAATGGCATGTTAGTAATCAAATTGCTGGCTTTGTATTTTCGTTAGGCAATTACAAGGATAGCAATATAATAAATATGATGGTATACAGCCCAGGACCAAAGATAAAGAAGGTTTGTCTAAGTGAATAATCGGAGCCTTCATTCCCAAGCAACAAAACAAACACTAAAGTTTTACTATTGGTTTACAAATTTGTATATTTGTAAAAGTGTGAGTAGAATGACAAAAATGATTGGTTCATCTTTTCAGGAACCCCTGGAAAATAAACCAAGCAAAAACGTTAGATGTTCTCAACCAAATACCGTGTTTCCCTGAAAATAAGACCCTGTCTTATATTTTTTTGAACCCTGAAATAAAGCCTTATTTTTGGGGAGGTCTTATTATTTTGGGGTGCGTGGAGCAAAATGGGGCTCCTCTTGCCGTCTTACCTGATTTCCAGCTCTGTGTTTAAATATTTTCGGGGAGGGCTTATTTTTGGGGGGGGAGCTTATTTTAGTGCATGCGCTCCAAAGTCCCATTGGGCTTATTATCAGGGGATGTCTTATTTTTGGGGAAACGGGGTACAATTTGCTGTACTTTATACACGTAGCACATGGAACTAAACAATAAGATGCTTAAGACAGCATTCAAAACTATCTCTATTATAGTAGAGAAGCTTTACTTAAAAACTGTTGGGAGGCTCTAAAAACAAATTGATTCATGGGAAAAGGAAAACAATTTCTGCTTAAAGTCAGAAATAGACGAAAACAGAAGCACCCATTGGGTTATGTAATTACAGAACACAACTGTTGGACTCAGGTAACCGCAGGAGTCAAAAGAAAAGGGGGGGGGTTAGTTTGGGACACAGAAAATTGTGTGAATTATGATTTAGTCAATAATATGCAGACCAGGTTCGCATGTTTGGTTAATCATGATTTATTATGATTAACCAAACATGCGAACTTGGTCTACATATTCCTAAAGTATCTTCCCTCTTACCAGTGGTGAAATCTAAAATTTGTTACTACCGGTTCTGTGGGCGTGGCTTGGGGGGGTAATGTGACTGGGTGGGCGTGGCTTTTTTTTGTTTCTTTTAAAACCATTTTTTCTACAACCTCTTCGGCGAAGAGGTTGTGAAAAGATGCTTTCAAAAGGCTCTGACGATCCCAGCTGAGTTGCCTGATCGGCAGAGACATTTTTTCTTTTAAATGCCTCTGACGATCAGGCAACTCAGCTTGGATCGTCAGAGGCATTTAAAAGAAAAAAAGGGGTTTTTTTCTTTTAAAAGCCTTTGATGATCCCAGCTGAGCGATCATCAGAGGCTTTTATTTTTTACTTTTAAAAGCATTTTTTCGGCAGAAGAGGTTGTAGAAAAAATGCTTTTAAAAGTAAAAAAAAGCCTCTGATGATTGTGCGGCTCAGCGGGGCAGGGGGGCGGGGCAGGGAGTTTTGCTACCGATTTTCCGAACCACCCGCCTCCATCGCTACCGGATCGGACGATCCGGTCCAAACCGGGAGCATTTCATCCCTGCCTCTTACTAATTATATACTCTTACTATCCAACTATGAGAGGAAAAAAAAAGCTGTTATCACTCACAAAATCAGGAGCTGATATCTTAGTGCTGGAGAAAAAAAACCTAGGACTTAAAAAACAAAACAAATGCCCATAACTCCTCAGAAAGCAAAGAACCAACCAAGAAACAAACAAACAAACAGGTACAGTCATTAGTTCTCTTGAAGTTAATCAATATTTTCTAAAAAGCCAATGGGGGAGGGAATGCTTTTCTGCAATGTAGTTTTTCCAGAAAATCTGTGAAGCCAAAGTGGGTGGGGCTTTTTAAAAAAAAAATGCAAGGGATGAACATGCCTCCTTTGCTTCTGTTTTAATGAGTCAAATATTTTCCTGGGTGAATTAATTCCTATGGGTTTCTTAAAAAAAGGAATGGACGCCAAATAAATCTGAATCAGTAGCACGGTAAGAGTTTGGATATACTCTTCCATCTTAAACTGGATCAAGACATGAGGCTAGGGTAGCCTGCAGCTCACCTGTTGAAGAAAACGGGGCATCTAAATCTGGGCTCTCCAAATTCGGCAACTTTAAGACTAATAAAAAAGAGAATATTTGTAGCTCAGGGTTGAAATGAGGGGTCCTTGATGCTCTCTGTTGCTTTCTTGCAAACATTCCATGATCCAAACTAGATAACATCATCAGGGCTAGTGACGATGATGTCGATGTTCATGATGATGATTAGCACCGATGATGTTACGTAGCTTGGGTCATGAAACGCCTGCATCCAAACTCAAGAGAGCACCAAGGACCCCTAATTTTAAGACTTGTGGACTCTCAGAATTCCCCCAGCCAACATGTTGCCAGGATTGCTGATCCCTGATCAAAGCGGAGACTGCTAGAGAGATAACAGTTCTAGTCTTTCAAACATCTGACTCTTAACGCATGTCATCCTACACAAGAAGTCTCCCAAAAATGTGGCTGGAAAAGCAATCGAGGCTCTTTTTGCAAAAACGGCATCCCAACCCAGAAAAATCCGGGGGGGGGAAGAAATCAGTGACCGTGACATGATTAAACTGAAGGACAGGGCAAACAGGCCCAGTCTGAAAAATGTGGCACTGATCTCGTTCATGGACAGAATGCTGGTATCCGATTCTTTCCAGGTCAAGAATCAAACCAAGTGCAGACTGAAAAACCATGCTGCTAGTTTCGGCCAAAAATAAACACGGGGAGGCAGGAAGTGGATGAGGCAACTGTTAAACCTTCAAGCTAATTTTTATTTGCTAGCTGGCTCCATCAACTCAAATACAGAGGCATGCTGTTGTGGGGGTGGGTGGGGGTGGAGAGGAGGCCAGCGTTCTTGGTTCAGCAGCCTCAGAGCTTGGCATGTGCGAACATCACGGGCTTATAAAAGCATCCATTGCAATTTGTGAATGGTAAAAATCAGCCTCCCAAGAACCGGTTACAGTTGTAATGGCTGGCAGGCAAAGGTAGGTTTGGAAATATGTCGGAAATAACGGCTGACGTTCCAAAATGGCCTTTTCTATGACCAGCAGAAATCAAGACAAAATATCTTTATTCCTTCCATTTATTCCCTACCTTTCTACCCCAGGAGTATTTAAGGCAACGCACAAGTATGAACGCTGTACAATTTATTGTGATGCAGAGCTGAACGGAAGTTTCTAGAGCAGGGGTGCCAAGCTTGCGGCCCGCGGTCAAGATGCGTCACATGCTGGCCCCACCCCCACCCAGTTTAGCAAAGGGGGGGAAGTCCCCATACGTCACGTGACGCTGCCGTGACGACGCGAGTTTGACACCCCTGTTCTAGAGGGAGAGAAAAATATCTGGCGTACCTACTTCCATTTAAACACCAAGCCCATAAAAAATACAGATTATTTTTATAACATTTTCTAAGCTATCAGATGGGTTCTTTGGCTGATTCAGCATTGATCATCCTCGCTAAGTTAGACTAAAAGGGCCGGATGGAAAAACACAAATAGGCAAAAAAAAACCCTTGGTGATTATTAAGCTTTAACGGTGCAACGGGTTCCAAAGACCTGAAAGCAGATTTCAGGAAACCCCAGAAAGAATCTATTTACATTTATCCACATGCCTAACTGGAAATAGGACCAAACAGCAAGCTCCAAATAGCATCACTCTTTGTGCCACTATAATTTTAGGGCAATGAGAATGCAACAATGAAAAGGCAGGACAGTATATTGGCTCGAGTATCAAGATCTGTGCCGTTTTTAAGATTTCCAAAAATATCCATCAAATCACTGCTTAGCAAACACGTTGGGTGTCTTTGCAAAAAAAATAAAAAAATCTGGTCGGGTGGGAAATTTGTTCAGAAACTGCATCACAAGATCGCTTGTGACACTTTGAAGTGTCTCTTTGTTTGCGTCTCAAATACGACGAGAACAAAACAAGAGTGTTTTTCCCCCAGGGAGCAAATCTTTTTAAAAGGCTCCTCTGGCAAACAAGGGTTAATTCGAGTTCAGGTAACCTGAAAGGGTAAGCTGTCTCTAAAATAGGACTTCAGGTATTCCCACTCAGCAAATTTGAACGTAATACCAGACAGTTCATCAGTTCATCAAAAAGTCAATGGGGACTTTTCCTCCGTTCTTCACTTAAAAAGATTCCACCACTTGGTGCTGAATGTTAATAAGCTGGTTGAATCACACTGCCTGAACTTGCAGGAAATAAAAGCGTGTGTGGACTTTTGCTTTTAAAAAGCGCAAGGTAGATAGGAAAGTCGAACAAAAAGATTGCTTGCCACTGAGAACTTACAGACTAGTTTAAAGGTCTCGCTGAACTGAGCCTTGCTTGAACTGCCTTCAAATTCTCATGCCGCGGAGTTAGGATTTTCATTCCAGACTAAGTCGTGCTGACACAAAGATCCAAAGTTCAAAGCAATTTAAATCCTTGCTTGCCGAGAAAAGAATATGAAACTATCGCTATGGCAACGTTAAGTACTTCTAAAGAATGAAGCTTGCCGTTTGAGATACGAGTACTCGGTTGTTAGTTTAGAAGTGGGAGCGAAGTAGTAGGGCCAGGGGGCTCCCATTAGAAATATGTATTTCCCAGGCTGAGCTTTTAAATGTGGCTCGGGAAGAGCCTTGGTAGTACAGGGGTTTAAGGCACCCTGTTATTAAGCTTATTAAGACCAGCTGCCTGCAATTACTGCAGGGTTCGAATCTCGCCAAGGCTCAAGGTTGACTCAGCCTTCCATCCTTTCTAAGGTAGGTGAAATGAGGACCCAGTTTGTGGGGGCAATAAGCTGACTTTGTATAAATATACAAAAGGATGAAGGCTATTGCTGAGCACATTGTAAGCCGCCCTGAGTCTTCGGAGAAGGGCGGCATATAAATCAAATTAAAAAAAAAAAAAAAGTGAGACGAGAAAAGAGGCACAAAGTACATATTGAACTAAGCTACGCTGCTCTGGTTCCGACAGCAATGATTGCCTCCCCAACCTCTGTGTAAACATTCAGCTGCACGATCCCCCATTATCTGTGAACAGGCCTGTGAGTTCACTAGTTCACAGGAAAGGGGCTAAAAGGAAAACAAAGAAGGCCCCTCACTCTTGTGACTTTGGAGGATTTATTGGCTTTAGAACTGGTTCCGTTAAGTGAAATTCTTGGGACCTCATCCTGTCCATTTCAATCAATCTCTTTTTAAGGGGGCCAAAACTGTGCATAGAAAAGAATTGTTTGCCAGCTTTAGGCAGGTGCCAAACTTTCTGATCTCCATGGGAATATCAAAAGCAGGACCAAATCATCAGATGACCTTCAAATCCTTGGTGTCGCACCTTATTGCCAATTTGGTCAAGATAGAACGTAATTCTGTCTTGGCTTCCTCTTTTTTTCACCGTTTCCCTTTTTCTCTTTTCTTCTCTCCACCCATTCACTACAGCTGGGTAGATTTCATATGCACATATAATATATAAATTATATTCTGGGCTTCTTGACAAAATAGCAATAGCACTTAGACTTACATACCGCTTCACAGTGCTTTACAGCCCTCTCTAAGCGGTTTACAGAATCAGCCTCTTGCCCCCAACCACCTGGGTCCTCATTTTACCCTCCTTGGAAGGATGGAAGGCTGAGTCAACCTTGAGCCTGGTGAGATTTGAACTGCCAAATTGCAGGCAGCCAGCAGTCAGCAGAAGTAGCCTGCAGTACTGCACTCTAACCACTGCGCCACTGTGGCTCAAATGGACTATTGCAGGCTTAGCCTGCAATTGTCAGTTTTTAACCGGATTATTTTGAAATCAAGAAGAGAGAATGACTTCACCTGTCTTAACCGCTATACCTAGGTATTTGACCCACGTTAAGAGTGCACATCATCTTTGATCAGTTTCAGAATCCCATTCAGGTCCTCTAGGGAGGGTCAAGGGAGGAGGTAAAGACCATGGAAGGTGACAAGGAGCTGGAGAAGAAGATGCAAACAAGTTGGACAGGACGGAGCAGAGTTGGCAGAAGGCTGCAAATGCTGGGTAACAGCAAATGAGATGGAGAACCTCCGGGTAGGGAGTAAGGAGTAGAGTCAGGGGTCTTGCATAAAAGGATTTGGGTGCAGGCAACATCTGGGATGGGGAAACTGTAGAACAGCCAAGCCAATAGATAGATATGCAGATGACACAGAAACAAAGCAGTTGAGGACATGGAAAGAAGAAACAGAAACAGAAAGGAGAATAGAGTCAGATACATGGAAAAGCAACGTAGGCATGGCGAAAAATAAAGTGGAAGAAAAGCAGGGAATACAGCAAAAAATGGATCCTGTAGGCCAGGGGTCTCCAACCTTGGCAACTTTACGACTTGTGGATTTCAACTCCCAGAATTCCTCAGCCAGCACTGGCTGAGGAATTCTGGGAGTTGAAGTCCACAAGTCGTAAAGTTGCCAAGGTTGGAGACCCTTGCTGTAGGCGACCGAAGGAAGGGGGCAAAGGGCATTTCAAACTGGCCCTGACCCTTTCAGACCTACTTTTTCTGCCCCCCTGGTCTCCTTCAAAAGACATTCTCTTGCGGCAAGGTATTTGGTGAAGATTTACTTTATTTGCTCTTAAGATTACGGAGAGCCGGCTTGGTATAGCGGATTAAGACACCAGGCTAAAAAAAACAGGGAGATTGTGAACTTTAATCCCCCCCTTAGGCACAAAACCAGCTGGACAACTTAGAGCCAGTCATTCTCTCTCGACCCCAGGAAGAAAGCAACAGCAAAACACTTCCAAAAACGTTGCCAAGCAGTCCCAAGGAATCAAGAGTGACTTGAAGGCCCACCCACTATCAGACCAATTCTCTCATATATATTTTTTCCCCCCAGAGCTCTAGGCAGCACAGGTAGTATCCCTGCCTTCAAATTATTATGTCTACGGTCACAACAGTCTTGCGAGCTATGTTGGACTAAGGGGCACCGAATGGGTCAGCATCGGGCAGGGAATTATCACCACCAAGAGCGACCTTGTCGCTGAATTCGCCATTCCTAACCCAACAGCTAAGGTCAACTCTGGATCTCGCAAACCAGGCCCTCTGTACGAAGAAGAACGAGCAGCAGCTGCTGTCCGCTACTATTTTGTCAGACTTGAACATTGGGCACTATCTAACAAAATGAAATTCAATGGTGAAAAATGTAAGGTTCTACATTTAGGCAAGAAAAACAAAATGCACAAGTATGGTATAGGTGGTACCTCGCTCAATACCCTGTTTCCCCCAAAATAAGACATCCCCTGATAATAAGCCCAATCGGGCTTTTGAGCGCATGGCAATAACGCCAAGCGCTTATTTCAGGGTTCCAAAAAATATAAGACAGGGTCTTATTTTCGGGGAAGATGAAGGTGAGAGGGATCTTGGAGTCCTAGTGGACAACCATTTAGATATGAGCCAGCCGTGTGCAGCAGCTGCCAAAAAAAGCCAACACAGTTCTAGGCTGCATAAACAGAAGGATAGAATCAAGATCACGTGAAGTGTTAATACCACTTTATAAGGCCTTGGTAAGGCCACACTTGGAATACTGCATCCAGTTTTGGTCGCCACAATGTAAAAAAGATGTGGAGACTCTAGAAAGAGCGCAGAGAAGAGCAACCAAGATGATTAGGGGACTGGAGGCTAAAACACATGAAGAACGGTTGCAGGAACTGGGTATGTCTAGTTTAATGAAAACAAGGACTAGGGGAGACATGATAGCATTGTTCCAATATCTCAGGGGTTGCCCCAAAGAAGAAGGAGTCAAGCTATTCTCCAAAGCACCTGAGGGCAGGACAAGAAGCAATGGGTGGAAACTAATCAAGGAGAGAAGCAACTTAGAACTAAGGAGAAATTTCCTGACAGTGAGAACAATTAACTAGTGGAACAACTTGCCTCCAGAAGTTGTGAATGCTCCAACACTGGAAGTTTTTAAGAAGAGGTTGGATAACCATTTGTCTGAAGTGGTGTAGGGTTTCCTGCCTAAGCAGGGGGTTGGACTAGAAAACCTCCAAGGTCCTTTCCAACTCTGTTATTCTATTCTATTCTACTCACAGGACCCAATTAGTCTCTCCTTACCTGATAGCTGTTACCGTTCCAGAATTTTCTCATCTCCTTGCGGTACAAAGCAAGCAGGGCACAAGGAATGAGTGTGCAGGGCACTAAATAGAGAAGAGCTGGTTGAGCCTTATTCATGAATACTAGACAGACGAAGGTGACCACCATGCCGACACCATAAGCTGCAGAACAATAAGAAATTGAAATGAGAATAAAGATAATTAGAAAATCGGGGCTGCTCAAATACCACTTTAGATTGAACTGAAAAGGGAAACAACAGGAGAGAGGGGAAGGAGTAGAGAGAGAGGAAGGGAGAAGAGAGGAGAGGAGAGAAGAGAAGAGGAGAAAGAAGAAAGGGAAAAGAAGAGGAAGAAAAGGGAGGGGAAAGAGGAGTAAAGAAGAAGGTTAGAAGGGGGTAAGAAGAGAGGAGTGGGGGAAGAGAAGGGGAAGTGGGAAAGAGAAGGAGAGAAAGAACGAAGGAAGTAGGAGATGAGAGAGGAAGGAAGAGAAGGGGAGGAGAAGAAGAAAGGTTGGAGTAAAGGTAAAGGGTAAAAGAGCAGTCCCGAAAAAGTTAAAACTAAAAATGAAAGTTAAAAGAAAAGATGAATGAAAAATGATGAAAATGACTGTACATGTAAATGTGTTTATGGGAAATAAAAATTAAAAATTAAAAAAAAAAAAGCTGCAGAACAAGGCAAACATTAAAATAAAATACGTCACTGAATATCGCAGATTTTTAAGGCTTCTTTAGGCTCAATTCACTGTCAGGCGGTTCTAAGAGGCTTACACAAGCCAAAATGGCAATATTAAAACATTAAAATAATGAGTATTATTATTCAACAACCAACCAGACCCATGTATATAAAGTTCAAGCCAATGGGGAAATCTGAACCGGTTTACTATTGGTTTGGTGGCCACCCATGCGCGCTGTGTGCGTGCATCCTCAGTTCGTACCAAAAGGAGGCTTGGAAAGGTAAGTAGAACAAGGGGGGGTAGGAAATCAGCTGTGGCGTCCAATCTTGGGGACCTTTTTAAAAACTTTTTTAAAGCAATTTTTACTACCGGTTCGGGCGAATAGGTAGTAAAAAATGCTTTTAAAAAGTAAAAAAAAAAAAGGCTCCGACAATTACAGCTGTGCCGCGCGAGTGTCGGAATCTCTTTTTTTACTTTTTTAAAGCATTTTTTTACTACCGATTCACCCGAACCGGTAGTAAAAAAATGCTTAAAAAATAAAAAAAAAGTTCCGACGATCGCGCATCGCTCAGCTGATCGTCAGAAGTTTTTTTTGACATTTTTTTACTACCAGTTCGGCGAACCACTAGCATTTTTTACTACCGGTTCAAGCGAACCGGCCCAAACCGGTAGCATTTCACCCCTGGTTCAAGCTACTCTATTGTTCTCTGCCTCTTATACAGGAATTTTCCCAGACTGGTAGTTTTCATATGAAAACTACTAAAGCCCTAAGCATTCAGAAAGGGTCAGACCTAGCTGTCTTGTGTTTACATAGTGTCCAGGTGTATTCTGTGCTTCAGCCCTCCCAGCCAAGATGGCTGCTCTCCAGTGTCAACTCGCAAAGCATCCCTGGCCTGCTCTCGAGTTGCCGTAGGCCAGGGGGAATGGGAAACCGGCAAAATGGCACAGCAGTCAAAGACAGATGCACATTCCATGCTTATCTCTCTCAAGGCTGTATCCCAGGGTTACCTTCAGCAGCCAAGGGGAGTGACCTCTACAACCCATGAAATTGCTCCGCTGGCAAATGTGATTGATGACACACCCTGAGGGAAGGGGGGTAAACAGGGTCATAATTGGAACATAAATTACGTAGGGTTGGAGCTGGCTTCATTTGGGAATGTGCCGACATGAAGCTCCTAATAAATAACTGGATTTCTTTTGAAGCTTGGCTCGAGACTCATGATTTAATTAGGGCATCCTGCATCATTAAAACTATCAAAGATAGCTAGGAAAGGAGCAACGTACAGCGGGGTGAAGATGAAATAATCTCTTAATCCACTAATCACCTCCAATATGGAACGCCTCCATCCAGGACCCCAGGCCAATTGGCAGAGTCAGGTTTTAAGGCTTCTCCTAAAAGGCCAAGAGGCTGGGGTCGGATCTCACCTCAAGGGGCACTCCTAATACTGTTTTTCAAAATAATGGTTGGGATAGATTACCTATGGTGCAGCAAATGTAATACACGGAGGAAGAGCTGGTTTGCACATCAAATCTGTTGCAGTACGCAACCAGGAGACCTTAAAAAACCAAAAACACACAAAAAAAACACACAAAATGAAAGACAGATCAGAGAGATTTTGTCAGGAACAAAATGATGTCATCAAAACAACAGGACTACACTCTTCAAATTAAGACCACAATTGAGCCCCAAAACTGATGTTGTTAAATGAGAAATTTGTTAAGTGAGTTTTGTCCTATTTTATGCCTTTTCTTGCCACATTTGTTAAGCGCATCACAGAGGTTTAGGAGAGCTGTAAGTTTCATTATGCATGCTCAAGTTCTTTCCCTCCCATAATTTTAACCTGGAGTCTATGAGTGCTTATAAATACCCTTGGACTAAGCAATAACTCTGTATGTAGATTTTGGGAGGCGGGAACTAGATAGCACTGGCCTCTATTTCTAATTTTTCAGGCCCCCCCCACCGCTTTATTTGTCTTTTCTGCCTTTCGTAAGTAAATAAATAAATATTTCAACATCTACTTGGAAATCTGGCTGCAAATTATTGTTCTGGCAGTGGGGCCCACAAAATTCTATGGGTTGCATTTACCTATATTAGAATTTACTCTGCAGATCAGTGGTGGGTTTCAAAATTTTTTACTACCGGTTCTGGGGGTGTGGCTTGGTGGGCGTGACTTGGTGGGTGTGGCTGGGTAAAGATACGGCAAAATCTCCATTCCCACCCCACTCCAGGGGAAGGATACTGTAAAATCTCCATTCCCTCCCCAATCCAGGGGAAGGTTACTGCAAAATCCCCATTTCCTCCTGATCAGCTGGGACTTAGGAGGCAGAGAATAGACGGGGGCGGGGCCAGTCAGAATTTTTACTACTGGTTCTCCGAACTATTCAAAATTTCCGCTACCAGTTCTCCAGAATTGGTCAGAACCTGCTGAAACCCACTTCTGCTGCAGATACTCTGTTACAATAATTTTTATACTTGTTGAGAAAAAACAGTGAAACCAAAAGAGTAAACTCGGTCTCTCTCTTCCATGCAATATACATGTATAGGGTGTGTTTGTGTGAACAAAATGGCTTAGAAACCGGGAAACGTGCTATATGTGGACCGAAAATGTCCCACACGGTCATTATATGAAGAATTCTTTCCCTGTGTTGCCCGAAGCACCATGTTTAGGTTAGCAATAGCACTTAGATTATGTACCGCTTCACAGTGCTTTACAGCCATCTCTAAGCTGTTTATAGAGTCAGCATAATTGCCCCCAACAATCTGGGTCCTCGTTTTACCGACCTTGGAAGGATGGAAGGCTGAGTCAACCCATAGTTTAAAGCAGGGGTGGGATTGAAAGATTTTAGCAACCGGTTCCCTACCCAGTTGCTGGGTGGGCGTGGCCATGGGGGCGTGGCCTACTCAGCCTCCTGCACCATGGGGGGGGGGTTCGCCCTCCCCAGGCTCCGGAGGCTTTCCTCAAGCTTTCGTAAGGGCGAAAACAGCCTCCCCTGGCCTCCAGAGGCCCTCCGGAGGCCAGAAACAGGTCCATTTCCACACTTCCGGTAGGCCCGTTTTTGCCCTCCCAGAGCCTCCGCGTGGGCCCTGCACTTATCTAGAATGATGAACAGGCCGTGTGGAGACTCCTGGGAGGAGTGGGATGGGCAGAGCCAGTCAGTCCTTGCAACTACTGGTTCGGTGAACCAGATGTAAAATTAGCATCCGGTTTACTCAAACCAGTCTGAATCCCACCCCTGGCTGAAAGAGATGCTTACCTGGAATAACAATATCACCAAATCCAAGTAATGAAAATGGCCTCATACACAACACTGCTGGTGACAAGTCCAACCTGGGCACCTTGAAGACCACGGGCAACTGAAAAACAGTGTTTTTTTTAAAAAAAACCCTGTAAAACCAATCCAAAGGATGTTTCATGAAAAATAAAATTTAATCAGAATCCTCTCCTCATCTAGTTTACACAGAAGAAGTGCTAACATTCAGAGAACAGCAACCAAGAAGCAGAGTGCACAAAAAAGTACGATCAAACACAAACGCCACGGAGGAAACATCTGGATTTAGCAGACAGACACCACTGACAAATGATTTGATAAAATGAGGAGCCCCGGGAAATGAAGAAAAAAAGATTTTTTAGCCTGATCAAAATTGATAGGGCAACACTTAAGATCTAAATCCTGAAGAAAATTAACGTGGAGAGAAGAGATAATCAGGTGGGTTTTTTTCCCCTGCCCCAAAGAATATTGATTTTTGGTTTTTTTTTAATTTTTTGGAAGTAGGCCATTGTAAATCCATGGAACGTATCTTAAACACAATCCTTACTTTCTCATGAGGAGCTGACTGTTCAGCAGAGGCATCCATCAAGTTTCCATCACTCTAGGATCAAACCCAAGTCAACAAGCATTTAATACTTGGAAGAAAAAAGATTTTAAAAATGGCTACATTTTGTAAGCAGTTCATATTGGAATATTAAGGGCAATATCCAAGCACACTTTATACTTTATAGGCCAGTCCTATATTCGCTTTCTCTCTCCCCAAAAATTTAAGACAATGTTTCTTAACCTTGGCAACTTGGAAGATGGGTGGGACTTCAACTCTCAGAATTCCCCAGCCGGAAATTCTGGAAGTTGAAGTCCGTGCATTTTTAGGTTGCCAAGGTTGACAGATACTGTTTTTAAGAGGTCTCTAAGATGCTTTCAGCATGTTTATGTACAACAAGTGCAATATGATAAATGTAACCCAACCTGTGGAAACAGAAGCTACTGTTTTTTTCAAAAGATTTAATATGCCTACCTTTTCACTGCTTTCAAGCGGTCCAAGTGCCACTTCAACCATGATGCTTTCTCCACTCTGAAAGTTTGAAAAAAGAATACGGATGCTGAAACGTTTGTTCTGGAAATACTTAAAATATTAGGCATTTAAAAGTCAATGCATTTTTTTTTCAGCATTTTTCATTTTTTGGGGCCAGAACACTCCTTGGCAAACTCATATAAAATGGAATGAATTAGGGAACCATGATGGTTCATAATCCAATAAAGATTAACATGAGATGAGGACACTTTCAAAATAAAAAAAGCAAAATCAGAACAAACTTGAGAACCCAGTTGGTTCTATGTGGGAACCAACCCACAGTGTTCTTGCAGGAAATGCCAGCTGCAAGTGTATTTCACAAACTTATTAGAAACAAGCATCAAACTGGGCTGATTTAATGCCATTTCCATCGGGTCAGAAAAATGAAACATAAATCAAAACACCGAAAAGCACATGAAGCCTAAGCACATATTTTAAAATAAAATAAGCAGAAGGTTAAAAAAAGTAGATATGCAAATGTTTCTACGATAAATAAAATAATGGACTTTTTTTTTTTGTCTCTATATTTTGAGAATTGGACTACTGGATCTGAAATAAATTGTTTGGCATGTTTAAAAGTCCCAGGAATTAAGAGTCTGGGATATTATGTGGTTCACTTTATCAAGACCTTATTCTAATTTAATGGCATCACAGTGCCACACAAAGGCAACTGGTGGCATTAAACAACAGCCAATATTCTACAGCTAGTCCTTGACTTAAGACCTCAAATTGGGTCCAGAATTTCTGTTGCTAAGCAAGTCACCCACAATTTTGTGATCTTCCCCCCCATCCCCACCCCGTGGTTGTTAAGCAAGTAACTTGTTAAGTGAATTGTGCGTCATTAAGCAAATTCCAGGTTTACCCATTGACTTTGCTTGCCAGATGTTGACTGGAAAGATCACAATTGGTGTTCACAAAACTCTGGGATGCTGCAACCATGATAAATACTTGTACACTTAAAACTTTCACTGTATTGGAGCATATTTTTCATAAAAACACTAAAACGCCAAAAATCGAACCCACTCTGCATGTTGAAAAGAATTGTTATAAAACCTGCATACTTACTTTTGTAATGTAAGGTGTGATGAAGACAAAAAACACATCATATAAAAGAAGGAGACCTAGGAGAATCACACATGACTAGAGAACAAAGAACAGGTGTTTATTTTTTAAACAAAACAAAAAACAAAACAAAACAAAATGTATGCAAAAGCCTTTCAAACTTAAAAAACATTCATTCCATATTTGGAGTTTCTGTTTCTTTTCCGTGGTCTTTCTAATAGTGGCCATAAACAGCTGCATAAATACAAATTCTTTGGACATAGAATAAACAGACTACAATCAAGGTTATCTTGTCCAGTGTATTCAATGGGTTAACTTTAAGTACCGTTTACTCTAGATTTAGCCCAAAGATTGTGATTCAGTAAAAAAAACAAACCAATCAGAAAACAGATTACATAGCGAGTTGATTTTTAAAAAAGGAAACTGTAAGATATATATATATATTATAATTACTATTAATCTATTTCTAATTAATTAATTAATCTAATTCTGCCAACCTAGCAGTTCGAAAGCATGTTAAAAAAAATGCAAGAAGAAAAATTAGGAAGGTAACAGTGTTCCTTGCGCCTTTGGCATTGAGTCATGCCGGCCACATGACCACGGAGACGTCTTCGGACACTGCTGGCTCTTCAGTTTTGAAACAGAGGTTTATGTAAGTTTTCACGGGTATGTATGTGTGTATAGTTAATATTTCGGGTTTCTTCCCGTGTAATTGTGGATATATCCCTAAACCCCCTTTTAGAAACCCGAAATATTAACTATACACACACACACACACACACACACACACACACACACACACATATATATATATATGTTTTTCTTCTAGCCAGGTTTTCCCTATGTAGCCAAGGTTTTTTTGTAGCTCCAGCTCAGTAGAATCTCATCTACTCGGTTCTGGGCTTTTTTCTTTTCTAACACCTAGCAAGCTCTCACTGACCTACATATATATATGTAGGTCTTTGATTATTCAGATTTTGTCCCGCGTAAAATTGGAAGTACCTTGGCGATGTTTCGACAAAGTCTCATTTGTCATCATCAGGCTGGTGTCTTCGGCCTTGTACACCAGTCTGATGATGACGAATGAGACTTCATTGAAACGTCGCCAAGGTACTTCCAATTTTACGCGGGACAAAACCCGAATAACCAAAGACCTACATACAAATACCCGCGCAGTATGCTCCCTCCCATATTGGGGCAAACCAGGTGCTTCGACAGAAATACACACACACACATTAAATCTTTTTTAAAAAAAAAAAAAAAAAATCCCACAGAGCCCTGCTATCACTTTCAAATGTATGTTCAGATTTTCAAATCAACAATAGAAATTTTGTTTTTGCTCTTATAAGTGATATATTATTTCAATATAACGCAATGATTGTATGCCTCTCTGTTTGATAGCTATTAACAATGGCTGAAAACACATTTCTTTCCTCAGCCTTACTGCCTGTATTAAGAGCAGCTGAAATCCAGCACCTCTCTAACATATTTTGTCAAAGAAAGTTAACTGTAACGGGGAAAATCTTCCCGAGTTGCACTGAAGACAAAATTTAAGACGACGGCTGAGTGGCAGATTAAAATACTCCCTTTTCCTTCACTCTATCATTTACTGTGTCGGTAGAAGTTTAGCTAAATAAGTTACTGTACCTTGAAGTTGGGCATTTTGAGTGTTTTAATAAAGTTCAGACAGAAAGAAATTCCCAGGATGTTTTGTAAAATCCAAGCCCAGCTAAAATAAATAATAATAAAAAAGGTTATGTGTTAAGCACAGGAACAAGAATGCTACATACACTTTGTTCAAACTTCAGATATAATCCTCAACATAATGAATAAAGGATAATGTTCCTCTGAGCATAACAGCACAGGCTTCCAAATAAATATACACACAGAAGGGTTGGGCAAATGAAGAACTCACTGTCATTTAAAACAGGGGTCCCCAACCCCTGGTCCCTGGACTGGCACTGGGCCAGGCATGCCAGCAACAGGGTTGCACAAACAAGACAGGTCCCATCTGCGAGATGCAGGCTGCATGGAAAACCATGAGTTGGACTGAGAGAGAGGGACTTGTTTCAAAGTCACCCAGCTGGCTTTCATGCCTAATGTGGGACTAGAACCCATGATTTCCTGATGATTGGCCCAAAGTCACCCAGTCAATTTTCATGCTCAAGGTGGAACTAGCAATAGCAATAGCACTTAAGACTTACAGTATATACCACTCTACAGTGCTTTACAGACCTCTCTAAGTGGTTTACAGAGTCAGCCTATGGCCCCAACAATCTGGGTCCTCATTTGACCCACCTCAGAAGGATGGAAGGCTGAGTCAACCTTGAGCCTGGTGAGATTCGAACTGCCAAATTGCAGGCAGCTGGCAGCCAGTAGCCTGAGGTACTGCACTCTAACCACTGCACCAACTAGAACTCATGATCTCCTAGTAACTGTCCCAAAGTCACCCAGCCGGCTTTCATGCCTAAGGCAGGACTAGAACTCACAGTCTCCTGCTTTCTAGCCTGGTGTTTTAAACCACTAGCCCAAACTGGCTCTCATTCTTCACTTACCTATCCTCATTCCGAAACACAGCCCAGGTAATGGACAGCGCTAAGCAAAACAGAAAGAGGAAAACAAGTCTCACTTCAAGGGCGCGATTCCAGCATGGAAACCTAAAACAATACAGTTAATAACAACACATCAGCATTGCAAATACAGGATGCACAGAACATTTTCCAGTAACAAAGGCAAGCGTTGCTTAATTCAGTATTACACTCAGCAAATTTCATTCGTTTTTTTTTCTCCCACGCTTCCATCTAAGATGTAAGTTATACTGAAACGAAGCAAAGAATATCAGTATATTCTCACAGTATAACCTCTATAACTGTCTGGTTTGGCTCTGCAACCCTACAAGACAGACACAGACTTCAGAGGATAATTAGAACTGCAGAAAAAACAATTGCTACCAACCTGCCTTCCATTGAGGACCTGCATACTGCAAGAGTCAAAAAGAGGGTTGTGAAAATATCTACAGACCCCTCGCATCCTGGACATAAACTGTTTCAACTCCTACACTCAAAACGATGCTATAGAGCACTGCACACCAGAACTACTAGACACAAGAACAGTTTTTTCCCGAACACCATCACTCTGCTAAATAAATAATTCCCTCAATACTGTCAAACTATTCATTGAGTCTGCACTACTATTAATCTTCTCATCGTTCCTATCATCCATCTCCTCCCATTTATGACTGTATGACTGTAACCTTGTTGCTGGTATCCTTACAATTTATATTGATTGTTTTCTAGTATGATTCGATTGCTTATTTGTACCCTATGACTATCATGAAGTGTTGTACCTTATGATTCTTGATGAATGTATCTTGTCTTTTTATGTACACTGAGAGCCTATGCACCGAAGACAAATTCCTTGTGTGTCCAATCACACTTGGCCAATAAAGAATTCTATTCTATTCAACTGTAAGATGGCTGGCGTCTAAATTTAATAAATAAAAATGAAGGGCTGGCTTTGCATTGAGATATCACAGTGAACATATCACTACTTCCTTGTCATTATGGATATGGAGACTTCCCAGGCAGCCATACTGATTTTATTATATAAGTTTTTTTGTTTTTTTTTTAAACTGGCTGTTCTCTCAGGTCTTGTGGTAGGGAGATTACAGAGCCTTGAGTGGGCTGCTTGTTGTTTTATTTGTCTGGACAATTTTCTTTATTGTTTCCTCATGTTAATTCTGGAGTCATGTGGCTTCTATGTCTACTGAACAAACACATAAATAAATACCTTCAGACACCTGTGATCCCCAGGCTGCTCCTTGACTAATTCTGAGTCATTCTTTTCACGGCTTTCTATAAACTAATACTTGATCCCATCTATCTTTGCAAAATATGTTCTTAACATTTATTTATTTTCTCTCCCCCCCCTCCCCCAGCTTTCTGATCCCTCGAGTTCCTACTTGGGCTCGAACAGATTCAGATCTAGTCTTTCTCTGCCAGGAGATGTTTTTCTCAATCTCTTGAAGTTCCTCCATAAATTAAAGAGATCCTTGGTGCCAGTGGTGGAATTCAAATTTTTTTACTACTGGTTCTGTGGCCGTGGCTTGGTGGGCGTGGCAGGGGAAGGATACTGCAAAATCTCCATTCCTCCCTACTCCAGGAGGAAGGATATTGCAAAATCTCCATTCCCTCCCCATTCTGGGGTCAGCCAGAGGTGGTATTTACCGGTTCTCCGAACTACTCAAAATTTCCGCTACTGGTTCTCCAGAACCTGTCAGAACCTGCTGAATAGCACACCCTCTCTGGGCTTGTTTTCTTGCAGATGTTTCATTACCCAACTAGGTATCATCATCAATGCTAGAAGGGTGACCTAGTTGGCAATGAAACAACTGCAAGAAAACAACCAAGCTCAGAGAGCATCAAGGACCCCATAATTCAACCCTGAGCTACAAATATTCTCTTCTATTGGTAAATTAAGGAGAAAACCAGGATTAGCCACATGGGAGTTATTAGGTCAAAAGCCCAGATCACTTGTTGCCAGTTGTTAAGCAGGCAATCAGTGGACCTGCCTACCAGATATTCCTCAATCAGGTTCCTTCTGGATCCATAAGATCCCTGGAACGTGCCATTTTAATTGGACCACAGAGTTCACAGATTAATCTCCTGTGGACCTGGAAGTGAAAACTGCAAGGTGCCAGCTGGTACACTTTCCACAAAGGTAAAGGTTCCCCTCACACATATGTGCTAGTCGTTCCCGACTCTAGGGGGTGGTGCTCATCTCCGTTTCAAAGCCGAAGAGCCAGCGCTGTCCGAAGACGTCTCCGTGGTCATGTGGCCGGCATGACTAAACGCCAAAGGTGCACGGAACGCTGTTACCCTCCCACCAAAGGTGGTCCCTATTTTTCTACTTGCATTTTTTACGTGCTTTCGAACTGCTAGGTTGGCAGAAGCTGGGACAAGTAACAGAAGCTCAACCCATTATGCAGCACTAGGGATTCGAACCGCTGAACTGCCGACCTTTTGATCGTCAAGCTCAGCACCTTATCCACTGAGCCACCGCGTCCCCTTACACTTTCCATATCCATCACTAAATAACTGACCTGCGGTCTGATCAATTGGAGGCCAAATCGAGATTTCACTGTGACTTAATTTTGATCAGCAAAAGGAAAAAATATTTTTATCGCCTTTTAAAAAGTCATATATAATAAAGCACTTTACCTGCATTGTCCATAAGGTATATTTTTCAGTAGGGCAGAGAGACAGGCGTACATGCTCGAAACAGATGCTACGCAGAATATGGCAATGACCACATACACTAGACAAGAAGGGAAAACAAGGAGGAGGACATGGTTACAAACCAACCACTAGAACCAACCGACTATCAATCTTTCAGTAACGGGGAAGGGAGATTCATATAAAAATGGATACAGGTAATCCTCATTTAGCAACCACCACTGGACCAACTCAAGTCATTAAGCGAAGCACTCGCTAAGTAAAAGCACGCCTATTACTTCAGCACTCCTTCTCTTTGCAGATCAGCGAAGGTCATAAAGATGAGGATTGTTCGCAAAGTTAATTTTTCATCCCCGTCGTTAACTGTGAACAGTTGTCCAAGGCACTCACTAAATAAGGACTAGCTATGCAGAGGTATCTATTCCTCTTCTTGCTTTCTAAGCTGCCTTTATCCATTTTCTTAAGGAAGTGTCCTGTATCACATTCAGACACACATTTCTGTCTCCATGGCTTATAGCCAGCCTACACAAGGCTATTGTAAAGTAAAGGTAAAGGTTCCCCTTGCACATATATGCTAGTCATTCCCAACTCTAGGGGGCGGTGCTCATCTCCGCTTCAAAGCCAAAGAGCCAGCACTGTCCGAAGACGTCTCCGTGGTCATGTGGCCGGCATGACTAAATGGCGAAGGTGCATGGAATGCTGTTACCTTCCCACCAAAGGTGGTCCCTATTTTTCTACTTGCATTTTTTACGTGCTTTCAAACTGCTAGGTTAGCAGAAGCTGGGACAAATAACGGGAGCTCACCCCATTACGTGGCACTAGGGATTTGAACCGCTGAACTGCCAACCTTTCTGATCGACAAGCTCAGTGTCTTAGCCACTGAGCCACTGCATCCCTTAAGGCTGTTGTACAAGTGCCTAAAACGTGCTTGTAAAATCAGTTTGGGATCGTGAAAAAATCTGCCTAAATTGCATTGGGAAAGATTTGCTGTTTTGAATGTCCATAATACTTTTGGCATGCCCAAGCTGTCTCAGGAAGTAACTAAGGCCAAAATCCATCTTTGTAACACATATTTTAAATATCAAAGGCATTCCAGTATGCAGGGCCCTGTGGATAGAGATCTAGCAATCCAGCAACAGGTTTTCCCTTCCAATCCCAGGCTAAATAAATGCTCTCTTTTTTTTTTTTTACCGAGCCATTTGTAGAAGAAATACATCAAGACCAGCATAATGCAGCAGCAGGACACAAATATGACCACGGTCAAAGGGGTTAAAGTAAGAGTTTCTTCATCCGATAATGATTCATTGCTTCCGGGGTTGGGGCCTCGTTTCAGCTTCTCACTGGGTGAACAAGAAAGCAGCACTTAGGAAATTGCCACAGAGGATGACTTCTTTGAGCAACTTTGCCCTGGTGCTCCTGTAATTCTTGACCAAAAAATGCACCCTCCCCAGTCTCTGTTCTTCAAAGACACGTTTTTTAAAATCTTTTTTTATCTTGGCTGTGTGTGAGCAGATGCGTGTGTACATTGCAGAGATACTCAAGGGATGGTGTGCGTTATTGCAATGCCTCTTCCAACACCAAGCTTTTTGGACCTATCTCGTAGCAGATTTATTCATTACATTTATTTGCTGCCCATTTGTTCTGACCCAGCTCCCCAAACATGACAAACCTTTGGGCGTGAACTCAAAAGATTCCTTTATTAGGAGCGCCGGCAGCCCCGGCAAAAAGTTTCTCTCACAGGTTAACAAGTCTGGCCGGCTGGAAGATGAATAGCTGTCTGCCACATCTATTCATCTCCGCCCTCTGCCTTTTATCCCCAGAGCTAGGGTGGGGCTTCTCTAGCAGCAGTGGCTCTTCCTTCCCAAGGACCGGCCCATGGATTTCCACTGCTCTCCTCTCCTCTGCCTTCTGCGCATCAGGCACTGGACCCAGCTGTTCCTCCTCTTCCTCATCAGCCACCTCCAGACCTGGGGGCTGTTGACTCTCCATCTGAGGGTTGACAGATGGCCCAGGCTCTGCCTCTGTCTCCCTCTCTGCCAGTTCCATTCCCTCTTCCCTCTCAGAGCTCCCAGGTTGCCCTGATGCTAACCCTGACTCCCAAGCCTTCTCCTCTGATTCGGCTGCTGGAGGGGCCGGCGGCCAACAGGCCACAACACCATCTCATATGAAACCACTCTGGGCGATACCCATAGCTCCGTTCTTCCATTTACTTAAAGAACTGAGGCAGTGTGCAAGGAATTTGCATGGTGAATGGAAGCCCAACCATTCACCGTCAGCTAACCGTCAGCTTTACAAATATTTTTTTGTATTACAGTAAAAAAAAAAAATTAAACTCACAGCTCTGCCCTGCCACTCCAGTAGCCTCCAAGAGACACACAGAACATCGCGATTAGGAAAATGATCACCAAACTATAATCGAAGAGCGGTTGAGGGGGTACATATAATCCCACATTAACATTTCTTCCAAGAGTCTAAAAATTAGAAACCCGTCAGTTAGAAATGTTGGTTGAATATTAAGACATTGTTCCCCCCATTTGAATAACCCCATTCATAGCCACTTTGCCTTTGTTGGGCAACTAATTCATGGCAATTTAGAATCGGGAGAATCCAGTGGACAAGTATGATTTTAAAAAAAAATTAACTCTGCAAGCTTTACGAAGAAGTCGTGTAAAAAGCATTGAGGAAAAAAAGGCTAAATATAAGACGGTTCTTAGCTACAAATAAAGGGTTGGCTATTTAAGAATATACATAGAAAAGTTGAGAAGTAAATTCTCTGCCAAAAGACTGATCAGGATGTTCTTAGTGTGGGGTTCTTAGTGCTGAAGTCCAAACATTTTAAAAATGCTAAGGTTGAAACCCAGCGCTCAAGAGGATTCTGCAACCAGCAAGGGTTAAGTCCAGATGGCCTCTAAGATCATCTCTATGATTCTGAGGAGGAATGACCACATAGAAGCAGAAGCGAAGAGAAAAAGGCCGGAAAGCAAATAAAAAAAGAAACTTGAGAATGCCATACAGACAAATACTGCAAAAATCTCGGTTACGTGATTTGTGTAATGCTTGTTTCAGGAAGGGAGGGTCAATGCTTTATTCAGTGCCACTCTAAAGAACCCACCAAAGGGATGAAAAATACTTGAACTTTCGTAAATCAGCAAAAGAAAGGATTTCTTGGTAAAGCGCCTCCTCTCAAAACACGGTTAATTAATCTCCAACCCCAGTTATTAATCAGAAACTCAAAGCAACTGTGAAGATAGCACCAGCGGTGTGTGTCAGTAAATATTAAGATGGAAGCAGACCAAGAAACAAAAAGCCGCAGCGTGTCCCAAAAATCGATTCATTTCCAACAGAAGCCATTTGTTTTTCTCGTTCGCCCGCACAAAGAGCCACCCTGAAAAAGATGTGTTACCTGTTCCAAATCCTTTATATCTGCGTCTCGAACGAGCGCAATAGGAATGGTGAGATTCTGGGTTTTGTTCCCTCCCGGAGTACGCTAGAAAAATGGAAATAAATTTGTGTCTGCTTACCTGAGCCAAGACTTGATTAAATCACAGGTATTTCTCAAGAAAGGGGCTCTCAATTCCTTCCATCTGTCTTTTAATACAGACCCCCATCCCCCATTCCACCCTATTATGTAGACCAGGGGCAGTGGTGAAATGCAAAAATTTTTGCTACCGGTTCTGTGGGCGTGGCTTGGTGGGGAGTCATGTGACTGGGTGGGCATGGCCAACTATTTTTTTTTTTTTTTACTTTTTAAAGCATTTTTTACTACCTATCTGCCCGAACTGGTAGTAAAAAAAAAATGCTTCAAAAAAGGAAAACCATATTCATATTCCTCAGGGTCAGAAAGCCAAAAAGATGACTCCATTTTGAGATCCCAAGCTTTCCCTGAGGAGTTAGCCTAAGGCGTATCTCAGAATTGGCGGTAGAACTCAATTCAGCCACAAAACTTCACTTTTGACACAGAGCTCAGATTTGGAAAAGAAACCATTATTCATGTTGACCAGGGTCTGGAAAGCCAAAAACTCACTCCATTTTGAGCAGCAAAGCTGTGATCGTCGGAACCTCTTCTTTTTTTTTTTTTAACTTTTTAAAGCATTTTTTTACTACCGGTTCGCCGGTAGCATTTCACCCCTGACCAGGGGTGTCAAACTCAAGGCCTGGGAGCCAGATGCGGCCTGCGGGGTACTTAGCTCTGGCCCACGCGGCCGCCCTGGAAAGTGAAGGATCAACCAGCAGTGCCTCTGCCAGCGAAAACAGCACTCTGGATGGCCGCGTACGGCTCTCCCAAACTCCTTTTTCACTGGCAGAGGGCTGCAGGAGGCCGTCACAACTGAAAACAGAGCTCAGGAACCCATTTTCACTGGCAGAGTGTTTGGGCCACCACAGGTGCCCCCAACATGAGTGACATCGAGCTGGCCACACCCACCCTGGCCACGCCCCCTCCCCCTCCTAAGGTCAAGCAAAACTCTGATGCGGCCCTCAATGAAATTGAGTTTGACACCCCTGATGTAGACATTTTTGCTTTTCATGTATCTCCCTTTCGTATGCAGTTTGGCCTTCATCTTTCGCCATCACTAGCTCTGGAAAAGACTCCACAAGGCTTAAGTTAAACACCTATCTGGATAAAACAGAAAACTAAACTCCTAAACAAATGGTTGAGGATTACCTGCAATTACTGGTTTTTAATCTACAGCAATTCAAGAGAATCCCCATTAGCTGAAAAGCCAGATACGATCATTTAATTTAATAAAAAATAATTTGTCTGATTTGTTTAAATAATTTCTCTCGTTTGTTTAAACAACATACTACTTAAAAGATACATATAGGATACTACAGATTCAGGGGCCAGGGCCAGTCTACTTAAATAATCTATACATGTTGATCCAAATCACACAGATCTGCTAATAACAATTGGAAAATGGACAAATCAGTTTCCATGCACCAAAATACCGACAGAAAGCAATCAACTGGTCAAAAACTGGACCTTACTATGGAAGTTTCGCTGGCCACCAGCAACACTTTAGCACCCAACCGCTGAGCAATCTCTGCCTTTTCTAGAAAAGTACAATTTCCTCTCTTCACTACGATTGCTTTGTTCTTGATGTCTTGGGTAACGTCGGATGGGCTGCAGAGCAATTTAGGGGTCAAAAACTCCAGCCTTGCATAATCCTAAAAGATCATAAGAATAAGTCATTTAAAAAAACGAAACCAAAAATTAAAGAGCAAACATACAAGAGACTTCTACAATGTAACTGAAACAGGTTTTTGTCTTTAAAAAAAAACCTTTTTTGTCACTTCCTATTATTTAACAGGAACCAGAATTAAAATCCTTAACACAGAGTAGTAAATGCATTTTGTGAGAATGCAAGGAGGACATGCTATTTTAAAGGTCTCTGTCTTTCTGTTCGAGGCTAACAGCTGCTCCTGAAGCCCAGTTTGCAATTCCTTAAAGCACACAGGGTCACTAAAGCTGCCTCTCATGTCTGCAACTGTTTCTGGGGAAAGATGCCGCTGCCTTTTTTTTATTATTATTATTTATTTATTTATTTATTTTAATTTGATTTATATGCCGCCCTTCTCCGAAGACTCAGGGCGGCTTACAATGTGCTCAGCAATAGCCTTCATCCTTTTGTATATTTATACAAAGTCAGCTTATTGCCCCCACAAACTGGGTCCTCATTTCACCTACCTTAGAAAGGATGGAAGGCTGAGTCAACCTTGAGCCTTGGCGAGATTCGAACCCTGCAGTAATTGCAGGCAGCTGGTCTTAATAAGCTTAATAACAGGGTGCCTTAAACCCCTGTACTACCAAGGCTCTTTAAGGCTTTAAGGAGCTGCAGACAGGTCCCATCTGTGCACCCCCGTTTCCTGAACCAACTTTTCTGCCTTTGAATCTGAAATCTTTCTGCCAAGCAAAACCTGAAATACAACATTTTCCTACTGTGGTAGCTTTCTGCTTACAGGAACTTAACAAGGCGGGTATTCCCAGCGTCCTTCCACCCAGCCCAACCTTATCATTTTCAAATATTTCACTCCCACCTCCTTCTACTACATGTATGAATCCAGACTTAGCTGCGTTGTTTCTTTACGATTGTACTATACCACACTATAGCTTGGCTAATGATATCTCCCGTAGGGATGCCAATTGCTTCTGACTACCATGTATCCCCAAAAATAAGACCTGGTCTTATATTAATTTTTGCTCCAAAAGACTTATTAGGGCTTATTTTCTGGTTAGGTCTTATTTTGGGGAAAATATGGTTCTAAATGCATCCATCTGGCTGACAATCTTAACTGGGGCTTATTTTGGGGGTAGGGCTTATATTACGAGCATCCTGAAAAATCATGCCAGTTGGGTCCTATTTTCGGGGAAACAGGGTATGTTCCCACACTATACTAACTGATTTGATGGCTTATTGGTTATCATAATCCAAGGTCCTGCTTATCACCTTTAAACCCCTACATGGCTTGGGACCAGCCTATGTGAAGCCTCTCCTCTATTGTTGTTAGTTGCAAAGTTGTGTCCGACCCATCGCGACCCCATGGACAACATTCCTCCAGGCCTTCCTGTTCTCTAGCATCCTCTGGAGTCCATTTAAGTTCACGCCTACTGCTTCAGTGATACCATCCAACCACCTCATTCTCTGCCATCCCCTTCTTCTTTTGCCCTCAATCGTTCCCAGCATTAGACTCTTCTCCAGGGAGTCCTTCCTTCTCATTAGGTGGCCAAAGCATTTGAGTTTTATCTTCAGGATCTGGCTTTCTAAAGAGCAGTCAGGGTTGATCTCCTCTAGGACTGACTGGTTGGATCGCTTTGCAGTCCAACAGACTCGCAGGAGTCTTCTCCAGCACCATAGCTCAAAGGCCTCAATTCTTTGGCGCTCAGCCTTCCTTATGGTCCAACTTTCCCTCCTCTATTACAGTCGCCCAACCCACAAGGACAGGCAGACAGGTCCCATTAATTAGGGATGTACTTCTGGTACAACCACAAAAAAGGTCCTTCTCAGTAGTGGCCCCTTCTTTATGCTTCCCCTCGAGGTATGGTTGGACCCTACCCTATTGTTTTACCTGAAAGGCCCTGAAAACGTGGATTTTTATTAAGAGACCTGGGACGATGAATAGAGACATTGATGATCAAATGGCTGATTTGATTGTGTAGTTCCTGCCATGGAGGGTGGGAGGTGTTTTTTTTAATGTTTTTTATTATAGATTTTTTTTAAAAAAAATTATAAAACTTCCCGGAATCATCAATGTGTGAGTTGGGCAGTTATATAAATTTGCTGAATAAAATAAACAAATAAATAATGTGGGAATCCAGCCATTGCGGCTTAGTATTATGCATTGACTCAGTCACAATGGGCTAAAGAAAAATAAAGATAGCTTAGCACAGGGTGTGAAACTTGTCAAAAGTCCCCAAACTGAATTTCATTCCGTTCTTAACAACGCATAAATACTTACAATGTTAGATAAGCTCTTAGGAAGGGTTGTCCAGTTGGAATTGTAATAGATGCAATAAGCCTTTGTTAAATAGGGACTGTCAATTTGAACTGCATGCAGAACTCCTCCTTGGGCACTTATCTATTATTAGAAAAAGAGAAAAAAAAACAGATTATTTAAAAAGTATTGTTGTTTTTTAATTGTTAGGAGCTAACAATCACGAGGCCATATATACATCTGACAGAGTTTTAAAAATTGAATATCGTTTGAAGTCTGAGCGAAGAAAGCCGACTTCAGTAAGACCGCCCCAGTTTCAAAACTGGTTTATGCAATGAACTCAATTATTCATTTGATTCAACTTTCTTTTTAAAATCACAGTTCCAGAGAAGTCGTTCTTTGTTAAGCCAAACAAAACTTTGCAACAGTCTCTTTAAGCTTTTGAGTTTCTCAAACCCTTTCTCAGCCAAAATTAAAACATGCCAAGAAAATTATTCTTTCGATCAGTTCTTCGAACATTTTCATTCTACTAAGAATTCAGCAAGATTGTAGGTTGAGCTGCTGGACATTTTCACATGATGTGGTTCCCCTTACTAATTTTAGATTAAGCAAAAACATTTCGTAGATGGTAGAGGATTTCATTTAACTTTAAGTGGGATCATTCTTCATCTGGAAGAATTTAGAATGAACTGATTCTGACATTTTGTTTGCTGTTATTATAATGTTATTATAGACATTATAATGTAATGTCTGTTTTGTTCATCTGTTCCTGTTGTTCAGAGACTTGGAAATATGTAATCAAAAACGTTTTTTCAGACGTTAGATGCTGCTTGGCTGAGTCATCGGAATCCAGAGAGTGACTCAGATTGTGGCTCAGGAGGGATTTAAACCACATGCCATCCTGTTTTTTTTCGGTCCATCTTTGAAACTGAGCTTGACTTATGATGATCTCATAAGACGCAGTCACAAAAGTGGTTTGCTTCTGTTTTCTGGATTTCAAGGCTGTAGCTCTGATATCTTACTCTAACTCCATGACGGCAAACATTTTCAGCATTGAGTGCCCAAACCGGAACGCGCGTGCATGCATGTACAGGTGGGCACGCCAGAATGGCGGAAATCCAAATACCAGCTGGCTAGTGTGTGTGCGTGTGCCAGCCAGCTGGGCTTTGGGTTTCCGGCACGCGCATGCACACCGGCCAGCCGGGCTTTGCGTGCGCCAGAGCACCGGAAACCTAAATATCAGGTGGCCAGCGTGTGCATGCCTGTTTTTTGGCCGTTTTTGGAGGGGTTTTAGGCCATTTTCAGGCTGTTTTTCGGGTCGTTTTCAGGCCATTTTTTGGGGATGTTTTCAGGCCATTTTTCGGTGCCCACAAAGACCAGCTGGTGATGGCACATGTGCCCACAGAGAGGACTCTGCATGCCACCTCTAGCATGCGTGCCATAGGTTCGCCATCACGTCTCTAACTTATTAACCGGAGCATTTTAGTTTCTGAGTCCAGATAGCTTAGCCTGAAGCTGTAACCTATTTAAGATGCGATTCTTATACATTATTTTAAACATTACGTTCAGGGGGAAAAAAATATTCAAGCAATTCAGAAAAACTTAATGACTTCCTTATGAAACGACAGCTGGAGTTTTGTTTATGCTCCGTGTCCTAACTCCCTTTTTTTCCTAGCATTAAAGCTGACTGATGAAACAAAATGAATTTTGTTGTCCTGTCCTGATGGTGTGTTGTTTAAGGACTAGACACTTATTCACGGCCACAGTATTGCGTAAGTAGCTATTAATCCGCTAGAAAAATGTTTTGGGGCAGCATGGCAAATCTATGTCTGTCAATTTTGCTTTTTTTAAAAAAAAATGAAAAAAGATAAACAGGAGCTGCGAAGATTTGGTGCGTTGTGAATAGAAACTGAAAACATTTAGATATGTGTGGCAATTATTAAGTTTCATGCTACCTAAAAAAAAAAAAAATTCCCAAGCTACGCTAGCTACGCTAACTACATTTGTTCCAAATTATTTATTTATGTTATTTGTATCCCAGCTTTATTATTTTTACCAATCACTCAAGGCGGCAAAAACATATCCAACAAACTTTCCTCCTCCTATTTTTCTCCATAATGACAACTCTGTGAGGTGAGCTGGGCTGAGAGTGAATGAGTGAGTGAGTGGGCCCAAAGTCACCCAGCTGGCTTTCATGCTTAAGGTAGCACTAGAACTCACAGTCTCCTACTCTCTAGCCTGGTGCCTTAACTACTGGACCAGGGGAATCAAACTCGATTTCATTGAGGGCTGTGTGTTTGACCTCAGCAGGGGGGGGGGCCTAGGGGCACGTGGCCAGGGTGCATGTGGCCAGCTCAATGTCACTCCTGTCGGGGGCGCCTGTGGTGGCTTGAGCGCTCTGCCAGCGGCCCTTCCGAGCTCAGTTTTCACTGGCAAAGGCACCACGGGCTGGTCCTTCACTGTTTCCAGGGTGACCCCATGGGCCAGATCTAAGCACCCCGCAGGCTGGATCTGGCCCACGGGCCTTGAGTTTGTACACCTCCTGTACTAGACCAAACTGCTCCACTGATGGAATTAAGCCAGGCATTCAGAAGACTAAAATACCCACCAACAAAACTAACTGATACATCAACAGAGTCTGATCGGTTTCAAAGGCAGACCTATTAAAAGACAGACCACAACAACAGAAACACCACCAGTTGTCACCCGAAGCTCACAGCTCAAGTCACTCAAACAAAGCTACATCCCACACTAGACAATCTACGTTACACCTTCTCAGGCGCCCACAACTCCATACAGAAAATCCTTGCACCCGAAGCAGATTTTTTTTAGTTTCCTAGCATGATTTATGTTGATTGCTTATTTCGTATCCTATGACAATCACTAAATGTTGTATCTTATGACTTATGATGAATGTATTTTTATGACGACCATGATCATGGTTTATCGTTTATAGCTTCAATGTACACTGAGAGCTTATGCACCGAAGACAAATTCCTCGTGTGTCCGATCACACTTGGCCAATAAAGAGTTCTACTCTATTGTATTCTATTTTCATAAGCCACATGGGAACCACAAGGACAAGCAGTCCCACCTGGACAACCTGCAGCAAAGCCAGAGGTCTATTTTGCCCCCATGTCTACACCCACAACACTATCACAGGCCCCAGGAACTGCACACCCAAGATTAAGGATGCCTTCACACGGTCTGCTTCTCAGTTGACACAGGTAATCCTCAGGTTACAACCATAATTGAGGCCAAAGTTTATGCTGCTAAGTGAAACATTTTTTCAGTGGGCTTGTCCCATTTTACGACTGTTCTTGCCACCGTTGTTAAATTAATCCCTGCAGTTTTGAAATTAGGAAATACGATTGCAGTTAAAGTGAATCTGGTTTTCCCATTCTGACTTTGCTTGTCAGAAAGTCGCAAAAGGCAATGACATGACCCCGGGACAATTGCAACCGTCGTAAATGTGAATCAGTGGTCAAGCATCTGAATTTTAAATCACGTGACCCTGGGGATGCTGCCAACGGTCATAAGTGTGAAAAATGGTCCTAAGTCACTTTTTTTCAGTGCCATTGTAAGTTCGAACGGTCACTAAATGAACCATTGTAAGTCGAGGGCTACCTATACTAGCCAGGACCGTGAGGTTAGTGGCTGTGTGGATAGCCAAGGCCATCAGGATCCAGTTTTCCAACATTCCAAAAAAAGAGCGGAGGTGGCACAGTGGTTAGAGCGCAGTACTGCAGGCTACTTCTGCTGCCTGCCGGCTGCCTGCAGTTTGGCAGTTCGAATCTCACCAGGCACAAGGTTGTCCTCAGCCTTCCATCCTTCCGAGGTGAGTCAAATGAGGACCCAGATGGTTGGGGGCAATAGGTTGACTCTGTAAACCGCTTAGGGAGGGCTGTGAAGCACTGTGAAGCGGTATATAAGTCTAAGTGCTATTGCCCGCTCTATCTATCTATCATCTATCTATCTATCTATCTATCTATCTATCTATCTATCTATCTATCATCTATCTATCATCTATCTATCTATCTATCTATCATCTATCTATCATCTATCTATCTATCTATCTATCTATCTATCCTTCCTCAAGGCCACTGAGCCTCGATGGCGCAGTGGTTAGTACTGCAGGCTACTTCTGCTGACTGCCCGCTGCCTGCAGTTTGGCAGTTCGAATCTCACCAGGCACAAGGTTGTCTCAGCCTTCCATCCTTCCGAGGTGAGTCAAATGAGGACCCAGATGGTTGGGGGCAATAGGTTGACTCTGTAAACCGCTTAGGGAGGGCTGTGAAGCACTGTGAAGCGGTATATAAGTCTAAGTGCTATTGCCCGCTCTATCTATCTATCATCTATCTATCTATCTATCTATCTATCTATCATCTATCTATCATCTATCTATCTATCTATCTATCTATCTATCTATCTATCTATCCTTCCTCAAGGCCACTGAGCCTCGATGGCGCAGTGGTTAGTACTGCAGGCTACTTCTGCTGACTGCCGCTGCCTGCAGTTTGGCAGTTCGAATCTCACCAGGCACAAGGTTGTCTCAGCCTTCCATCCTTCTGAGGTGGGTCAAATGAGGACCCAGATGGTTGGGGGGGGGGCAAGAGGCTGACTCGGTAAACCGCTTAGAGAGGGCTGTAAAACACTATGACATGGTATATAAGTCTAAGTACTATTGCTATTGCTATTCCAGCACCTGAGAAGGTAAACAATGGCCTACACAAGCAGCGTGTGAGGAGGCAGGGGAAATCCTGTTGACCCCCCCCCCCACGCCCCCCGAAGTCAACAGGAGCAAAGTCAAAGTCCAGCCACCAACTTCCGGGACCTGCCTCTCTCCTCCTCCATAAACTTCAAAGCACCGCTGTTCAATTCAATGGCTGAGACCGGCGCGCATGCGCACCCCCCGAAACCAGATCTGTAGGAGCCTTACTTACCTGGCTGGGGCTTTTACGGGGGTTTCAGACAAGAGCTGAAAATGCACGGGAAGCCCCTTTCCCACGTTACCCAAGAGGGGCACCGAAGCCCTCGGGGGAGGGAGGGCGCTCTCTGCCCTGGTGCTGCCCCTGCTGCTGCCCTCTTCCTATGCTCAGAGGCTAGGTGCATGGGAGTTCTAGGCTAAGGTGGGGGGGGAGAGCCCCCACCCAGGGGGTTTCCCGAACCTGGGGAGGGGGTGATGGGGGGGAATCCCGGCCGTGCAGAGAGAGAGAGACTGGTGGCCCCGCGGAAGGTTTCGCTTCCACCGCTGGAAAGCCCCGAGGGCGTTTTGCTGGGGGGCGATGGGTGGGCGGCCAGCCCCAAATTCCCTCCCTCCCTCCCTCCCAGGCGATGGGGGTCCCGCGATGTGTCCCCCTCCCCTTCTGCCTCCCGAGCCTCCCCCCTTCCCGGACCCCCGAGCCCTTACCAGCGGCAGGAGCAGGGCCCAGAGCGCGGCCCCCAACAACCGGGCGGCCCCCATGCCCCGCGCCTGGCTTCCACGCCGCTCCCGCGGAGGCTCTCTACGGCCAGCCGGCCCGCAGCCAACCGTTCCCCCGCCCCCAGCGCCGGTTCCTACTCCGCTACCGAACGCGGCTTCTTTCCGGCGCTCGGCGCGATCAGGACTTCGCCTCCTCTTCTGGGCGGGCTTTCCTCCGGGGCAGAGGCGGCACAGACGCCGGCGGAAAAAGCCGGCCCGGAGGAGGAGGAGGAGGAGGAGGAAGAGCGCTCCTTCCCCGGGCCAAACGCCCCGCACTGGTTCCCGGGGCTTCCGATCTACCCCGAGCGACGATCCTGAGCCACGAGCAGAAAATCTCCCAATCCATCCATTCATCCATCCATCAATCCATCCATCATCAGTCCATCAAATCCATCATCAATCCATCATCCATCTATCCATCCATCCATCCATCATCCATCCATCAAATCCATCATCAATCCCATCATCCATCTATCATCCATCCATCCATCCATCATCCATCCATCAAATCCATCATCAATCCATCATCCATCCATCAAATCTGCCAAGGATCTACTGATGATGATCCCTAAGGCCAGATCTTGGGGGAAATCCCAAAGGATGCTACAGTACTGGTAGTTCTTGACTTATGACCCCAATGGAGCCCAAAATTTATTAACATCTGCTGCTTGCAATTACTGCAGGTTCGAATCTCCCCAGGCTCAAGGTTGACTCAGCCTTCCATCCTTTCTAAGGTAGGTAAATTGAGGACCCAGTTTGTGGGGGCAATAAGCTGACTTTGAATAAAAAATATACAAAAGGATGAAGGCTATTGCTTAGCGCATTGTAAGCCGCCCTGAGTCTCCGGAGAAGGGCAGCATATAACTCAAATTTTAAAAAAAATAAAATTAACTCATGTTCTACTGAACGTTAAGACAGTGGGTCGAGTGAGTTTGGACCACCACCACCACCACCCCCGTTTTACGGCTTTTCTCGCCACGTTTCGTTAAGCGAATCGGCGCCGTTGTGGTTAAAACTAATCACACGGTTGGTTCGGTGAATCTGGCTTGCCCTTGGATTTTGCTGGTGGGAAAGTCGCAAAAGGGGGGGTGGGGGTGGGGGGGTCACGTGATGGTGGGATGCCGCAACCGTCGTAAATAGGAACCGGTTATCCAGCATCGGAATGTAAATCACGTGACTGTAAGGATGCTGAAAAAGGTCGTAAGTGTGAAAAATGGTCGTAGGTCATTTTCAGGGCCGTTGTAACTTTGAATGGTCACTAAAGGAACTGTTGTAAATCACCTATACCAGTGATGGCTAAGCTTTTTGCCGTCGCGTGCCAAAAGTGGGGGTTGTGCGGGGGGGTCGCACGCATGCGTGCCCACACCCATAATTCAATGCCCCCCCGTGCCCCCCCTTTTGGCACATGACAGCAAAAAGGTTATGGGTGGGCCTAGTAGGCCCATTTTTCACCCTCCCCAGGCTCCAGAGGCTTTCTTGGAGCCTGGGGAGGGCGAAAACGGCCTTCCCCACACTCCAGAGGCCCTCTGGAGGCAGGAAATGACCTGTTTCCCGACTTCCGGTGGGCCCAGAAGGCCCGAAAATCAGCTGGCCGGCCCACACATGCACGCTGGAGCTGAGCTAGGGCAACGCTTGGATATGCCTCCACGTGCCACCTGTGGCACGCGTGCCATAGGTTCGCCATCACGGACCTATACAATGCTGTCTCGGGACCACTTGGGCAAAATTTTCATTTAACTCTCCAAAATTGTTACTAGACATTCCCGGTCTGTGATATTAATTCTCCCTAAAGCAGTGTTTCTCAACCTTGGTAGCTTGAAGATGGGTGGACTTCAACTCCCAGAATCCCAATTCTGGAAGTTGAAGTCCACCCATCTTCAAGCTTCCAAGGTTGAGAAACACTGCTTTAGGGAGATGGTTTCATTTTGTCTTTTCCCCAACCCTGCCAGCCATGGCAAAAGCCGGCCCGTGGCCGCAATTAAAATCTCTGCCTTCTGAACCATGAAGGGCTGGCTTGGCTGCCCGTTATTTTGGCTTGTTGACACACTGGGAGGTTGTTGAATTCACTGCCCGCTCTTACAGGCAATTACAACAGCTCTCCTTTTGTGCAAGACCTGACTCGCTGCCCAACAAGGCCCCGGCTGCTACAGGGAGGAACTTCAAGCCGATTTATTTTTGGTAGGAGAGAGATTGTCAGCTGTAGGAAGTGAGCACATGACTAGCCTCCTCCTGAAATGTAGACTAAATTATGACATTTAAGGGGCAGCCATTCAGATGTGTTAGGTAACATTCAGACACAAGTGGAACCAGTGGAACTTGTGATAGCTGGAGAGCATTAACAAGTGCGGGTCAAATGATTAAGTCACCACGGAGCAACTTCTGAACTATTTAAACAGCTAGTGCTTAATTTCTTGTTTGGGCAAAGTTTCTAAGAAAGTTACCAGTTTCGGCGTGTTCTAATAAAGAAGTATAAATAAATAAATGATAGGAAACAATATTGAGGCATTTGGTAAATAACAAAGGAACAGCACTTGCACTGTGGCTCACTTTTTAAAGCAGCCTTTTAAAATTCAAGGCGAAACTGAGTTTTTAAAAATGTTTACTTCATCTCAGTACCTGATCTATATTATTTAATTCCATTTGTATTACATTCACTGCTACAGCACCTTCCAGTCTGTAAGGCCTACCTTAGACTTTTGCACTCAATAGTTTGAGATATTAATAGTCAAGGATAAGGATGAACATCAGAAGAATTGTCAAATACTTGATCTGTTTTTATAAGAGTACAGGCGCCTTCTGCAGAAGAAATGCTATTCTGAATAATATTCACACAAACATTTTAGTAAGAGTAAGTTACTTAAAGCTGTACACAGGTCCACTTGTTAAAAATGCCTATTTTAAAACTTGAAGCGCTCTACAGAAAAATGAATGACCACCATCTATTTAAAGCAAATTTATTTTCCAATAATAGAAGATCCATTAAATCTAGGACTTCAGCCCTCTGCTTTCACTTCATGCAGCTGAAATGGAGTTGAGAGATAGCTTATATACACATTTGGGCACATCAGTAGAATGTTTCAGTTCTGTTCTGCAAATATCTTTTGTCTCATGAACTAAAATTTGACCACTATAATTTAAATTATAGTTCACAGATACTAGACTACAGTTTCAGGCAAGAATTAATAGCACAAGAAATTGATTGAATTTGATTCAGACAAATGTTTCTGGATTCATTTGGGTCAGAACTCAGTAAATTCAGAGTGTGCACCCATCTTCCAATGGTAGAAGAGAAAATACAGCTAAGCAACACCGTGTATATAAAACAAGTCTTGAATTTTAGAACAGAAGCAACCACTGCTAAAAGATTTTCATCACACCTTACATATTCTGCAGTTCCCAGTAGCAGCAAAAATCCTATCCCCCAGTCCTACTTCAAAAGCCCACCAATAATATTGTCAATTTTTACATTATTATTCTTCACCTAATCCTTTTATCTGACAACACATTCACAAAGCTTTCCAGGGCATCTAGCATGGCTGTGATGCAAAACCTGTTTCAGATTTCAGTTTTTGTCATAACAAAGTAGAGCTTAAGGCATGGTATGGGCTCCCACTCATAGCCCAAGAAATATATTAACCAAACAGAGCAAATTTTTTATTCTCGTTTTGTTGAGGGTCAGCGAAAAGCTATGTAATCTTAAAGTAAAAAATAAGCTTTAAAGTATTTAAATGTCTTTTTGAGCATTTTTTTTTCAGAAAAATTACACCAGGTTAAATAATTCTTGCCTAAAATTGGATTGAAGACCATTTTCTCAAGATAGGTAGAATTCTCTTTAGGTGTTAGTTTTATAGAAGTCAGAACTGAACAGAATATTAATCTTGCTTCTTCATCATCTTCACAGAATTTAAAACCCTAAGATTTATAGTTGGGAAAGAGCCATGAATTAAAACTGTAGTTACAGTACATGTAGTACTTTAAATACTATATTTAGCACATATTTCAAACATGGCGCTGTCCATTAACATTAACACAGCTTTATAGTTTTGTAATCAGATCCCCAGTTTGTACAGACTGTCACAGAATAAAACGGTGTTATTTTAGCACTTTACAACCAGCGTACAAACAGTAATGAATAAACTTAAATATAAAGCTTTCTATCTGAAGAGATTAATTACTTGAACTCCTAATTTGAACACCTTCTAAATCTGCGTGTTCATAGAATTGTTGCTGTAGCCTCCTTTGGAATTCATTCGTTCCTCAATATGCCCAACCTGGAAAAAGCATAAGATTATGAAAGGCTGATTAGTGCTACTAACATTATATAGTATATTTTGCACCTTAAAATAATTTCACCATTTTTTTTGTAATTAGTAATGGGTCTAACATTAAGTTTTCCTTAATTTTCTCCAACTCTAAAGTCTCAGATGTAAATTTCATTATACATTTTAGTCATAAATAATGGTTTATGACAACCATGCATTTCCTTTAATTTACCCAGAAAATTATTAGCAGGAATGTATTCAAAGGGTAACTCTGCAAGGGAAGTCACATACCTTTAAGTAAAGTGAGATTTTTGGAAACATGGTTGCATTGCAGAAATATTTAGAGAGATTAGTGTAAGAAAAATGGTCTTTCTTCCCACCCTCTTACCCCCAATATCAGTCACTTATTCTACTTTCACATATTCAGTGTTTTTTATGTAATCCAATCTAATTTTGGATATAAGTAATGTGAAGCTGTAACTTACATTTCATAGGTTTACTATAGCTTGATAGTCATACCTAAACATTGATAAACCAAATGGTAACACTTTATTGCTTCTCTCCCTGACGTACTTACTGATGGGGGGTTGCTGGTCATCTCTTTTGTTCCAAAATGAGTGATGTGAACGAAGTTCATTGGCTCTCCTATCATTTTTCGGTCGAGTCTCTTCTTTAGAGAACAGAGAAACATAAAGTCAATCTTTGCTAGATCTTTTTAAATTTAAGACATAATTATTCTGCTACTATTAGCCGCCCATAGTTACTTCAGCAATGACTTATGACTAGCTGGACAACATATTTAAGACAATGTTGCCCTGCCCTTTCCACAGTTAAGCTTACAATATTTTTCCTCATAACACAGGAAAAATTTTAGGTTCCTCGTAACAATGACCACAAAACCCAGTGATGTCTGACTAGAGAGGGGAAATATACCAGGTCTCTGATTTTTATAGTAGAATTTTGTTTCAGATTTCCTATTCAATATTTTCCCCCACCCCCTCTATAGCCA